TCGATAGAGATGCGCCCGATAGATCGATGGAATTACTTATTATTAATATTATTTTGATGGTATTGTTATGTTTGAGTTCCGGATCCTATTTTCTATTATATTGCATATTTGAATAATCACCATCAACTCTCTGTTGTTAACCGAATGCAAAAACGATACAACGGGAAAGAGTTGCGAACGGATGCAATGAACGCACAAACAACAACAACAGCAACATGAAACTTAATAAGCGATCGACAGACCAAGAGAGAGAAAGAGTCAGAGAGAGAGAGATAAAAATGTGCATGCTACAAAGTATATGTACACACACACTGTATGCAACTTTTATCTTCATTCGCCGTTCGTTTGCCATGAATGTTCCATCCATTTTATAAATATAAGTACACTTTGAAATTGCATCGAAACGTAAGGTTCAACCGGATAAACGAAATGAATAGAGAAAACGAAAAATAACTGAATTTGCGTTTAAAATTTGCCAAAAGGGGTTTTTCCAATAATAGAGCTTGCAATACAAGCAAGCCAGCAAGCAACACACACTCGATGGAATTATATCGAATTGTAAGTAATTTATTTTAAATATTTAAAACGGTAATACTGAGTGAGTTATCTACAATTCATAGAGCCCGGCACACACACACACACATATATATATTCTCTTTCTTTCGTTACCATAGAAAGCGAATGGAATTTGTCGATGGGTTGAGAATTTAGTCTTTGTTGTATCCTCTATCAGGTTCCGTTCGTCTTGCTTTCGGCTCTCTTTCTATCTCCTGATTACTATTTTTTTCAGCATCGTCGTCTATCTTTTTCTTCGCTGCCATAAAATGAAAACCCATTTAATTCCATTTTTCAACTAGACCTTTATTCTGTCCCGATCTTTTTGCTTCATTTCTTTTTTGTTGGCATATGACATGCATTATAAAGTAATGGCATCCGATATATAAGGCAAATTTTATGCATGTTTTCACAACATATTAATATACGAAATATGAGATAAAATGATTCGCAAAGAAGGAACTGAAACAAAATTGCTACATATTATCGAATAATATTATCGGATGCACAAATAAAGAGAGGCAGAGAGAGAGACATACACGTAGAGAGAGAGAATATCGATCTCAGTGGCATGAAAGAAATTCTTCAATCGAAAGAATCTCTCAGTTGCTGGCTTGATTTATTCGCAAAATACGTTTCAACTATTTTCTCATTATTTATTGGAAGAGATTATGAATAGAAAAAAAGGACTCGGAAAAATGAAGAGAAAAAAAATTGCATCAAGTTCGTCCCAAAACCAATAATCTTTTGCGACCAAAATCACTGCAAATATCTTGATGCATTGGCAGTCACCAGAATTTAAACCAAAAGGGATAATCATCGAACACTTTAAATTTAAAGGGGTTAAACAATACAATAACATATTGACACTGTTGATTCTCATTACTATTCTTTTAAAATACTTTTATTCCATTGTTATTTTGATGGATGATTTTTGCATCGAAATACAGAAGTCGAAAACCAAAATCTTCGCAGAATTCATTTATTCTTTTTGATAATTTATAATTGCAAGACATAGGTACATCAAATGATTCTCTCGGGAAAAAGTGTACAGTTGTAAACAGATTCAGTTGGCTATTCACTGTATTTCGATCATTATTATCTCTTGAGGGTAATTTCAATTGGAATTGAAAGACTACATTTCAAAGGGTACACGCATCACAACGAACCTCAAAGAACGAAAGATGGAATAAAACGAGATGCTTTCAAAAGGAACTAAAAGATCTTGCGAGTAGTGAAACGAGGACAAGAAATATCTATATCAATGTTCAATACATTTCGAAAGAGCATACACATCTCACCAAATAAATCCTTTTCGGATCAAATATAAATCCATCGTTAAATAAATTCACCATAATATATTGTTAAATAATAAGAAAGAAAGAAGGAATTGAAGAGAGATGGAGAATGTGAGCGACATTGAGTGTGCCCTGCTAAAGGTATTTTTCTTTGAACCGTTTACAGCTTAGGTGGGCTTCATTGACATGCAAGAACTTAACGACCACTATGAATGTTAGTATTGCGTATGTGAGTGTTTACACGTCGAATGTTCGGAACTTGCGAAACAAACATAATACATATTGCATGGATTGCGTTATCCATTTGATTTGGTTGGCTCGTTGTTCCCAACTGAATGGGCGAATATACTATATAAGATTGGATCTCACACAAAACCATGGCATTCGCATATATACGTTCACAGTTGTAATCACGATTTTCAATACGTTCGATTCAATGGTAAAAAAAAATAACAAGCGAAATGCGACCAGAAGTTTTAATGCCAATATCAGGAAATATACACAGGTCCAAAATCCAGATGAAGTTCAATTGAGAGAGTGAGATGGAGTTGGTAGTGAGATAACGAATACATTTTGCGATTCACCTCTATCAATGACTCAATGGATATTATTCTATTTGTACACTTGAAAGGTACATTTTTTCCAATTCGTGATATCACATTTGATATATACATGCTATGTATCCGGATACGAATTGGCTCATTCAATCCATACACTATAAAAAGAGCTTTATTTCACATCTTCCTCTTCATTTTTTATCTCTTTTCTCCGAATGCGAAATTTTAGTAACGAGATTTCGTTGTCAACGCCATGCGATCATGAAGCGAATTTTATTCGGCGTAGTTAATAACCGGGGTGGTGATAACGAAAAGGAGAATTGACATACCATATCTGAAACAAAGAATGATAAAATCACTGTGATAATTGGTGCCAAGCTTCTTTTTGAATAGGTCAAATTTAGTATGCATATTTTTTGCAAAGTTGGAATATCATTATTGATATGAAAGAACGTCCAATCAAGATGCAAGAGCTCCTTGTCAAGAAGAATCTGATGAAAAACCAAATGTCACATCTGTTCAAAAAATATATTTCACTATCCTATTTCCATAATAAATGCAAATCTAATAAATTTGAATTGATTGTGATCGAAGATTCACTTTATTTTGTCCAAAACTATATGGTGATTTACTCTGATGATAAAAACCATTTTCCATAATTAACTATTTCAATCATCCGCACCTCCAAACGTGACCAACAAACACAGCGCAACCAACTATATGAATGGCCATTTAAACGCTCGAAACGTACAAAGAAGCTTGTCATAACAAACAAAATATGGCAAGTGGAATATTGTAGAAACGAAAGAGACCACGAAGGTTTTGATAAAATGCACATGATTAATAGTTCTTGTTCATGTGTTTGGCATGAGGTTCTATCAATTGTAGTTGGCCAATTAAAATCCAGCACGCTAGGCCATTTCAGAGTTAAACCTCTTATGCTAGCGTCAATTTTGTTTTTGAGATGTATAACCATCAAATGATGCAAATCTAAACACGCACCATTTTCAAAACGGCCTTCACCAAAAATATTGGTAACACAAAACACAAACATGCCAAATAATAATTATTCAGTTAACGTAATTCAATTAGTGAAAATAGTTGGGTAAATGTATACGCATAAGTGAGCTGCTACTAGTGAACAACAGTCAAAACTACTGGTGAGTGAAAATGTTCGGAAATGAAATGACGATGGTTTGCAAGTGAAACAAAATAACCGCACATTTTATTCACGAATCATGCCGATGATGAAGATGATCGAATACATGTTTATCTAACGTCAATCCGGATCTTAAATGTTCACATTTTCAATTCAATTTACTTTAATGAAATTTGATTGTTGTGGCGGTGTCTAGTTTAAATCGATGTATACACTACACATGCATATGCATAATTTAAGGTCCGTTAAGTATTTTATCGATGAAAAAGAGAAAAGGAGTGAGAAAGAGATACACACATTGTCTAATACGGTTTTTGTTTGTAAGTATATCACTTCATTTTCGGTCAAAAGCGGCACGTTCACTTTATTCACATTCATATAAATCATCTGCTTTTACATCATTTACGACCAGTGTCATAAGCCTAAAAGAAAACATGCTTGGATTTCGTGAACCTTGGCCCATCCAATGATAAGACACCGCTACTTTTGCAGCCGAAATTAAGATGAAGAAGGAAGAGAAAGGCCAGATCCGAGGTTGAACGTGCCCATACATTTTGTGGCCAGTCTAAACATAAAATTAATGCGAATTCTCTGTTTTCTATGTGGATATGATGGAACAAAAAAAGAAGAAGTTAAAACCGAGTTGCTCATCGCAACAGTCAGTCTTCGTCAAGCGTAAGAATCCATATTGTTAGTGGCATCAAAAAATGGCATCGTTTGGATCGTTCGAATAATGGCAACAGTCCAGAAAATAATTAAAAGATAACAATATACAACTTCTCGTTCGTACAGTGAATGAACGACGGAGGATGAGCTGTTATTAGTTTAAAGTTTCTTGTGGCTACACACATTTACAATAATCATATGTTCGGTTCTCGTGTCGTTATAATACATGCATGACGTACGTGCTATTGTCTATAGCTTCGTCGTTCGGACTGGGTTCGCATGTTTAAATTCCTATGTGAATTGTTGCCTTTTATTGCTCACATTTCATCCAAACTACTTTGGAGATTATTTTACCTCTTGTTTGCCGTTAGACAACGTATCGTCATAATAGAGCATCATTTAAAATGATTATCGACTAGCAAACATCTTGAGACATAACCACCACCACCACCACCACCACCACTGTATTTACACTCACACTCATATACATTATAAATAGCCGTTCAAAGTTTTGGGCATGTCTCAAATCGTGTGGCGATTCGATTCCATAATTGATTCATATTTTGCCATATACAAGACATCAACTTCATTTAAACTTTCATACTTTATGCAAAACTATCGTCCATTTTCCGTTTTTACAACGGATTTTCGATAAATATGTTGATTTTCCATAACTGGGCGTCCTCATGAGATTTATAACTCGTCTTAACTCTTTATTACTTAAAAAGTTTTTGATGGAAAATTTATTGAAAGTCATTTTTCGCATATTTTATTTTCAAATTAAATTCATGGTTTATTAAAAAGATCGATACAAAATTGGTGTACTGGAAATCATGTTATGATTCATAATATATCTAATTGATGGTACCGATTTAAGAAACCGCAAACTTAAACCGAATTCAATGATCAACCTTGGGCCGGTGAAGATGTCACTGAAATTATTCATATTTTTGTATTTCAATATCAATCGAGATTAAAATATAACCAAATTCAACAATCAATACTTACCAACTTCTGGATGGAAGCCATGTTCGTCAGCAGTCTGAAATTATTAAAAAAAAAATCATTTCAACTTTTATTATATTCACTAACAGAAAACACATCGCAATAAAGTTACAAGTTTGAGATAAACAAAATTCAACAGCGGATAATGAAACGTTGAAAAACTCTTAATACTTACATAATTTACAACGGTGATGGATCCATCTTTTTCAACAATTGTATATGACCCTTTGGTCACAATAACATCCATACCGCTAACCGTTTTGAATTTACCATCTTCTCTGAATTCCTCGCCGTTTACGAACTTTTGTCTAACAACGTATATAACCATTAACACTTCTATGAAAATCAATGAATTTCGATTCAAAACTCACTCAAAATTGTATTCAAGATTTGGATCCTGATGGAATCGACCATCGGCAACTACATATTTCGATTGTTGTTCTGGTTGTTGTTGAAAATGTTGATCGAATTGCGGAGCACTTTGTATACACGCAATTAAGACACAAAATACAGCAATTGCAATAAATTTTTTCATTTTGACGATAAACAAAAAATGTGAACTTATCAGAGTTAAGTCAATTCACCTACTAACCATGTAGCTATCTAAATGGTTATAAATTCCGATTTTGCGATAAAGTTAAATTATTACGAAAGACATACGGCAAATAAAACGGTGCAAAACAGGTTTTTCGACGTACATTTGCATATGTTTTTCTGTGGTTTGTAAATCTTATTTTAAGATATTCAGCAGTTTCGTCGCTTTTTGCGTGACATTTTGCAGAAAATGTTATGTCATCAGCGTGATATGCTGTAACCATCACTCAACAAGAGCCACACCTTCATTGATATGTATTCCATTTTCTTTAATTTTTGCTCTTTTTAATGAGAAATGAATGTTTTTCCATTTGAATTTGAATTTGATTATCACTACGTTGGAATCCGAAATCAAAATAACAAAAAGAAAGCAATTCCAGGTTTTATGAAACAGGTTCTCGATTAATTATTTGAAAACGAACGTTTTTTTTTTACTTGGTAAAGATTAATATTTATTTCATATAAATCAACAATTAAGAATATTATTAGTGTCTTATTCTACAAGTTATTTGCCTGCTGGTGATTGTGTTATTATTTCTGGATGGAATCCGTTTTCATCAGCGGTCTGAAATCGAATAAAAATCACATGAACGAAAATGTTTTTATAAGAATAATATGAATTCTTTTGGTTTCACTCACGTAATTGACAATGGTCATGGAACCGTCTTTCTCGATGATTGTGTATGATCCACGAGTGACGATAACGTCCTTTTGTTGCAAATTGCCTTCTTCATCGACTCGTTCGACATGCTTCAATTTACCTTCTTCATTGTATCTTTCACCGCTTGCAAATGTTTGGCTGCGCAACAAAGTAAATTGAAATAAATTTATTCTCATTGTCCATGTTTTTTTTTTTTTAAACAAAACCTCACTCGAAATTGTATTCTTTTGTGTCTGGATTTTGCTCGAATTTTTCATCGACAACCAAAAATCGTGATTGTCTTTCTGGATCTTGAGCATGGGCTGATTGGGCTTGAAATGGTTGTTGAGCTTGGAATTGTGGCTGGGCTTGAAATGTTTGTTTGTCTTGGAAACGTTGTGTACCACGATTTGGTCTTGCATTTTGTGGTGCAGACTGCACAAATGCAGCTACCACGCAAACACAAACAGCAACAGCAATGAATTTTTGAACCATTTTAACACAGAAAACTAATTTAATTTCGATTCGAAATAACGCGACTTATCACAACCGTGTCCAATTGTAAACTGAATGAATACTGTAAAAATGATTCAAATTCATACCAATTTTATAGACCTTTCAATATTTAGTAAAAAAATAGATACATTACGAAATACTTATAAATAAAATATGATATGGTCGATTACACACGTTGCCGGTGTGCACAGCGGTCTGATTTCCAGAATCGCGAACCGGATTTCAAGGTCGCGGAGACGAGCAACAAGTTTCATATTAAAAGTGAAACGAACGAGAAACGGCATATAGGTAAAAAAACAAAGTGCGAACGAAACTAAGAAATTAACGCTGATATATGTCGTATGAATAATGTGTTTATTCAAAGTTGTGGCAATCGTTGATATTTTATTTTTTCTGAAGAGATTTTGTTTTTATAATATTACCATATATATTACGACTCTCTTTTGTAGATTTACATTTCTCAACCCATGTTAATTTTGTTCAAATGGCAAAAATCAGCTGTTTTTAATGTCAATTCAAAGAAAGCAATATAGATTTAAATTATGTGTTTAAAAAAGTTTTTGCATTCCACAAAGAATATAATAAAGTTAGCAAGGAACATAGTCGTCATGTTGTTGTTGTTGTTATGTCGGAGAATTAGGCATTACAAAAATTCCATTCCAAATCCAAACTACATTAAGCACAGCCATTTAATGCTATGGGATCTAAGTATGTAGAAAGTCGTCCGGCATCGATGTCAATGTTTGTATGGAAAAAAAAGGAGGAGAGAGTTATTGACAGCAACAAAAAACGAGGGTGTCCATTTTAGCAGACATAAAAAAGGGTACCATAAATTACTGCATGTTGATGTTCGGATACATAAAACAGCATCCGCTTTAATGCGCAAGCATAGCACACAACATCGGTTCAGGTCATTTAACTAACATCGCTCGCACATTCCATTTTCTGTGACCAATACAACTACACACAATCGTACGGAAACATTTTGAATAAATGCTCGACAAATATGGCTGATTATGCGTACTGGTTGCCGATTCGAATCGATATTGACCAGTGTGTTTTCATTGGTTCAATAGACCCTTTTACCTGCTCTTCGAATGACATCCCAAAAACCTTTATCAAACTTTATGGGTTGATAAAGTTACTTGCACAAAAGTATTGGAAGATTTTTCATTTGACTGAATTCACTCGCATTCATTAGGGAAAAGCAGAACTTTTTCTTAATAACAGCATGCTCATTAATGTATTTCCTTGTTTAGAAGCAAAATAACGGGTGAAAATGGTCAAAATAACTTCACGTGCTAAAAATAAAAGAAAAGGTCAATTTCACTCCTTTGCTTTTTCTTCGACACATTTTACCCTTCATCTTTTCGTATTTTGCAGCATCTGACGATAAAATTCATTAAATTTGGCCCATTTCAAAAAGAAAATATGACCAAAAATATAATCACCGCTGTCGTTATTAATACTGGACAACGACATCAATTTCATATTCAACCCTCAAAAGTATTTGACAAGAGTACAGGGAAAAAGAACGTGAAATGCGTGATTTAACGACATTTACGAGTCTGCATACTATACGAGTACTGGATATAGATATAGATGGATGGAAAGAGACACCGAGACCGAGAGAGAGAGAAAAGTGCTCGCCTTAAAATCAGCTTTCGTTTTCATTGGGGTTAGCGTACTAACAACTTAAGACAAAAATTAATGGATTCTAGATTACAGAATTTTATGTAAATTTAAGGGTCGTTTTGATATTAAAGAATGTATTTCTTTCTTGTTGTATTGTTCGTTTCGGTTCGACAGTATCTTGGCATTTGGCCAAATATTATTTTAAAGAAGGGATTATTTCGTCTTGAAGCCGATGTTTCTTCTGGTGACATGAGCTGGACACACAATAGTAACTCATTTCTTGGTTTTATAAGTTGAAAATTACTTGACCCTTCCTGAAAATAAGATGTAATTTATTATTCAAAGTTTTGCCATTCCCCCCATCCTCTCTCTCTCGCTCTATCTTTTATCTGCATTCACCCCAGCCAAAGTTCAGAGCAAAATCGAATTGGATTTTACGGTGTCAGTCGATATGGAAAATGGAAATAAGAAAACGAACCAAGTTATTTGAATAAGAATGCATCAAAAACGCATTTGAATGAATTTCCAGAGTTGATAGTTGGAAATGATTTATTGTTCGCGATCAAATTTGTGAGATAATTCAAATATATCGTTAAAAGTGTGTTAGAGATTGTGCAATGTGTCAATCGGCAACTGTGTGTGCGCTTATAAGACGATTATTGTTTTAAACTAAACGATGATTGCGGTTTTATGTCATTTTTAACGATTTCCGTACACATTTAAACACTTTGCATGATTTATTTAATCATAACTTCAATTCGAAGTCGGTATCCCACACATCTTTTCTGAAAATCGACCCATATTCTCAATTAACACTTCGTTCACTTCATTAAAGACAAGACGATATCACACCGTTTTTGGTCAAAACACATCGAATTTTCTTTGGAATTTATTTAATCTGTCATTGTTTTGAGTTCGGACAGATAATAATGGGAGAGATTCAATTCATGCAATAAAAATTCAATCAATTCCTCTTTGTTCACGATACGTTTCCGATCATATTTATAGATTTAAATAATATTTTTTGAAATTCGTCACCTATTTCTTCCAAACATTGAAGATGATTTCAATATGAGCAGCAAATGCTATTCAAAGAAGGTTATGCATGTGAAATGACAAATGTGAAGGTTACATAATCACTGACACTTATGTCACTAATTTATGAACGAAAATATGTTAATTAATACGATTCACGAATGAAGAGCTTACCTTCGATATAGATAGATGTTAATACCTGGCGCAAACTTCATTTTTGATCATTTGAAATATATTGTGTTGTCATGTCAAATGATAGAAAAAAAATCCAGCCAAACAGGTGAATGAATTTGTTTATGTGAAGTGAATGCGGAAATTACCCATTTCGGAATGCAGTCTGAATATGTCAACAAGCGGATTATTTTAATATGTTGACATTTGTAAATGCATCATTTGAGAACAAACTAATTATCGTCTTAATGTCAGTAGGATGATTGAACAAGTTTCATTTTTTAAAGAATAAAATCAATAAAATCGATCAGAAATAAGAAGATTTGATTTTCATTTTTTTTTTTAATTTGTTATTCACAGTTTTTACAAAAAATGTAATAGATAATTGTAATTCTGATGAGACGTGATCTTGAATGTCACATTCAAAAAAGCACCAATTTATCCGGGGTCCACATCTAACCAACTAAAGATTTGAGTGCATTTGGATCGATTGGTTCGGGTCCTCCCGGTCCGGATCCTGTGTATTTTATAAAATACATTTCGTTAGATAATTGAAATTATTTTCATTTGATTCCTTCGAAAATGTCCATTACTTACCGATGACTGGATGAAAGCCCTGGTCATCAGCGGTGTATGTAACCCAATGTATTTGACCATCAGTTCCTTGGAATGAATATTGACCGCTAACTTCTTGGTGACCGTATTCATCTAGTTTTCCTGCTTCTTGGAAGAATTGTCCATTATCCAATTCATATCTAAGAATAGATATTAAACAAAATTAAATTTTATTTTTTGCAAACAATTTGATCAAATGCACTAAACAATATATCACAACTATATTTTTCAAACACTATAATTGTCTACACATTTTTTTCATGGTGCACATTCAAAATTAATTCCACAAAATGTCTGCTTCGTTTACAAAAAAAAAAAATCAACACTTTTAAAAAAATGAACAAAAAGATTCGTACGAGAACTCAAATGTTCCAGATCCATCGTTGGAATTGTATTCTTTGATAGCTTGTTGAGCTCCAACTAGTGCAACGACAAATACTGATAATGCAATCAAACTTAATTTCGACATTTTTCCAAGTAATTCGATCAAAATCAAACCGAAGACTAAACTGGACAACAAAAGTCTATTTGCTTATATATCGCCGCCCCAAATCACACCTATCAGGAATGATCAGTGACCACGCATATTTCAGCTGGGGCAATTCAATTAGGAAGATTTACAAACACATTCAAATCATAGCATACAATATCAAACATAGACAGAAATTTCGTTGATATTTCAATACAATCAGTTTATTTTTCTCTATCATTCAAAGTATGCGGCAGTTCAATAAAGAAGCTGAGCATATCATATTAGTTTCTTGTTTATACAAAGCTATTTCCATAATTAATACCTTTTATGCTTTCCGTTTTTGAATATTTCAACCTTGATCTTGATATGGCAATCTGTTTTCGGGTCTTCATTCATCGAATTCAGCCGTTTATACCGTTTGTCTATTTATCGTTAATATCGTTGTCAAATTTAGACAAATCATATGAATTCAGCCAATTCAGCAAAGCTCAAAAAGCTCAGATTAAATGGAGAAAAGTTTCAGTCGACTTTAAATTGTATATTATGCTAGTGAATGGGGACAAATGAATGAGGACGAACTTCCAGGTAATTTGTTAAAATAACATTTTTAATTTGTTTATATGATTTACACTGTCCGAATTCAGAAATGTGAAATTATTATCCAACCCAGCCGAGATCTTTTCATATTCATATTTAATCAAGAGCATCATTTAAGTTGGAATTTTGTGGCCCATCTGAAATATTATTGATTAACAGTCATTTTTTAGTAACGAAAAATTAAGATTTGTAATTTCATTCATTTCAATTTAAAAAAAACACTAATTACCGTCGTTTGGATGAAATCCATTTCCATCAACGTTATATTTTATCCAATACGTCTGTCCATCCATGGCCGTGAACGAATATGCACCTTTACCAGTTCTAGTATCATCGTTGTGCATTTCTTTTTCTAAAAATATGTGACCACCATCAGGCTCAGATCTGTAAGATGCAATTCGTCATTTTTAATTGGTTTTTATTTTTGAAAATTGTAAAAATAGATACTCTATTTCAAAGTATTTTTTAAGTTAAATCTACTGAAATTACAACATATACAATTAAAATCTCTTACATGCTTGGTTCATGGACCGGTTCTGGAGCTGCAACCAATACAATAACAAATATTGAAAGCAAAATAACACTTAATTTGAACATGTTGAAATCGAATCAGAAACTAAACGAGGTGACAGAGATTCTTTGCTTTATATTACTGAAGTGTAGCGAAAATGTGAGCGAAAAGCATATCTTCTCAGTGGATTTGCATACCTTTTATATTTAAATTAACAGAAAAAACGAGTTCGAATACCAAATACTAAGATACACGTGAACGTTTTATAAATAACTCAAAAGTTAATAGAGTTCAACTTCGACTCCCTCCCGGAAAGAGAAAAGATTGTCTTCCGATCCAAATTGCGTACGGATATTCAATCTGAAGTAAATTTATTTTTTTTATAAAAAAATTTCAAAAAATTGGAATAAAATCGAAAAGACAACTTTGTTTTGAACTTTTTTATTTAATATTCACACTGGATCCAATTTTAATTCAAATGTAACTGAATATTGAACAAAACATTCAAAGGATATCTGCTGATTTCAGGTTCTTACTATGAACTCCTTACCAACTACTAGTTTGATCGAATTTGAGTCGAAATCATCGCTTTTTGCTGCAGAAACCACTGTTGGCCGACCAGTTTTATAGTTTTGGCCGTAGTTTTCACGATTTCGAAGGAAACTTCGCACAACTTTTTCACTTCTATTTATTTCCTTTCCTATCTGACGGTTCGACATGTGCAGATAATCTTTTAATGTAGAAATTTCGGCTTTTTTCGCTTCAATTAATTGATTTACACGTCCCATTGTTTTTCGATTGTAATTCAAATGACAACTGCGTCACAAATATTAAGAAATTGCATGCACCGACTCTAGACGGTAAATCACATCAACACACATCATAAAATGTAAACAACTTTGTTTATTAGAAGCAAAACAGTGACTACGTCTATCCTTATTTCGCACTTTTTGAGTACAAAATTTCGAAAAACTTGAAAAAAATAAAATTCTTTAAATTATTTTTGAAAAATCTTTTTGTGATGTCTGCATAAATAGTTGCTAAATAAATTGACAAAAAAATCACAAAGAAGTCCATGCTTTTTAAATAAGATTTTTGGAAAAATGTTATTGCGTCTATCCTTTTTTCGCGGAGTGTATGTAACCAATGGGTTTGATCATCACCTCTAGGGAATTAATATTGAACCGTAACTTTTTGATTACAATTTTTATTAAATTTTCTTGCTCCTTGGAAGAAATGTCCATTGTCCAATTCATATTATAAAAACGGATATTAATCAAAATGGAAATTATTTTTTTATAAGTGATCTGATTAACTTCATAAGTAATTCGATTTAAAAAAAAAAAAAAAACAATAAAAAAGGAATCAATTACATATTTGCGATTCTTTTGGTATGTTTATGATAAAAATATTCAATTTTTATACTTTGTATACAAAAAAATGATATTGACGAAATCTATCGTCACTTTATACGTCACGAATCGCATGAACTTAAGTGGAAGAACAAATTATTACTGAACGTGAATATGGTTTTTCTAGACTTGCAAATTCAATCAAAATAAACAAGGAATGGGCGGGAGAAACAAGTTTGGCAAATGTCTTTTAAACCAATTCATAATAAATGCGTTACGAATTTCATCCAAAGTCAATTTGAATCTAAACTTTGATTGAAGTAAACTGTAATTTTTTTAATTACATTGTTGTACATTGAATTCGCTTAACATGGATAAAATTGTTTGTTTCGGAAGATAAGTGAAGTTTTGGTATGATTTCAAATTCTATAATTCTTCCTCAGACACTGGGTTGCTGCAAAACACGTATCACTGGCGCCCTCACTGTATTGCATAGTGAAGTAACTCAATAGTACGTGTGTGAAATGTGAAGATTTTTTCTCGCACGAACTAGATGGCGCTAATAACTAAGTGTCTTTGCAGCAATGGTGTGTCCTCAGAATTCATTTTTATGTTTGTGCGAGAAAGAAATTTTAGCAGCAAAAAAACTTGACAAAAAGATATTCTTCAAATATTTTTTTAACGATACACAAACCTTTTATAATCTTTTATCTACTCGTATAATGGTTCTCGCATGCTATAGTATATATATTTTTAACGCACTGAATGTTTGTATTGGCATAAAAGTTTAGCATATTTTGTAGTAGCCTTCAAAATATTTACGCTACAACTTATACACAACACAACAAATCTCTCCAAACCGCTGAAGTCGTTCATGTAGCACGTGTGATTATAATATCAGTTGACTTGTCCGTGCCATTCTTTGCAATGGAACAAGTTAATTTTGCATTTTTTGTAATATTCAATGTAAACCGGATTTTCAATTACAAAATAAAAGAAAAAAAATGATGACAATAAACTTGTTTGAAGAATATCTCTGCTCACTAAGCATATTAATTGGTGAGTTTTAAATGTTCTTCTTCACCAAAAAGATTCATATAAGCTCAGTTAGTACATTCTGTTATGCATACTCGATAACATGAAAATGAAAAAACTGTGTGCGGTTTTATTTTTTTCAATATTTTTTCTTTCGGTGTCAGGTGCATTTCTTTCAGACGGCATCGAAGAATTTCGTTTTACAAAAGCACCGGATGATAGTGATGAATATGATTTTGAGTAAGTCAAATTGAAATCATTGTATATTTTGTTAAATGGCACTTTTGAACGCATAGATATGACCGAGATGGCGGTTATACTTTTCGTGGAAGAACTTTCATTTTAAATGACCTAAATGATCACATCTACATAATGTTCGGTGCTGACGACGTTCTTTATTGGGTTAAATTTACCGACGACGAATATAAATACAAGCAATGCCTCATGAAAACAGTTCGGCTAAGTAAAATTTTTTGTTTTGTATGTTCTGTACTCATATTAATTTTTGTATTGTTTTAGTTGAAAGAACAGAGAATAAACTTATGTTCAGAGATGATTTTATTCAATACGACCTTACCATTTCTAAAGGCTTTATGTTCGTTTCACCGTACCAAACACAGTACGTGTATAAAACTCAATGGCTATGCTTTTCAAAATAAGTGAAAAAAATTGACTTCATTTTCAGATGGAATTTTGAGAAAATTTGTTTCAGCAAAAGTGCGCATGGAAATCAAACTTTCAACTACGTGTAAGCTGTTTAACAGAAATCTTTGTCATGACCATGTTTTAACTTTTAAGATATTTTTCAATCTTTATAGCCTTTTAGCAACAAATAATTCGAGACAATATAATGGCACAACAGATTACACAACAAATGATCCAGTGGATCCACATGTGCAGCTCATACATGTAGAAGATGGTGTTCAGACCAATGGTGTATATGAAGTAAATTTTACAGATAGTGAACTCAGTACGAATAACATGTTTTGTAAGGGAATTTCGAAAAAAATATCTGGTGAGTGCACCAATCAAAGAATGTTCAATGTAATTATGAGTGATTCGATGGTAATTGTTTTTAAAATTTTGCAGAGACGGGCGTCTTAGGAGCATATCCAGTGAGCAACATAAATCCAGATCTAATAAAATCTTTGGTTGGTTAAAATATAAATAGTACAATGAAATAATTCACTATTGTTTTGGAGTGATAAATGACTATAACTAATGAATAAAAACAAAATAATCTGAGTTGCGAATGATTATGATGCCTGATGGCATCGAAACAAATGTTTGTCTCGCGCTCAAGTATTTTATTTATTAAAATTAAATGACTTTAAAGATTATTTTGTTTTTATTCATTAATGAAATAATTGATGTTTAAAAGTAATAAAAGTGATGATCTTTTTGTAATCGTAAATGCGCTAAGAGTATAAAAATGTAATACGTATATAAATTATTCAGTAGATGTTAAATCCAATATATTATACAGCATGTGGCGATCCTAACAACACAGCTTGCATTAGTGAAACTCATGCATTTGAAATTATGGTTTTATGAGATTCATCCATCTGCAGGTATGCACACCATTCAACCCCCCATTTTCGGAATGTCTCTACCGTTCTTTGTACCTTGTTATATGATTGTACGTATTTTATATATTATATCAATATGAAGTCAATATTAGCGCGAACTAACAGCATTTAATTTATTGCAAATGAATTCGAGACATACCAGAAATAAAATTTTTAAAATGTGTAAGCGATACATGATTGAATATAATATAT